CATTAGTTATTGTTCTTACGTGCCATCTAGTTGAGCACAACACATAGTGATCCTATGAACAACAGATTTGAACCAATGGTATACGATAGGACATCCTCAATCTCTGACACACTTAGGTCCATTGCTACTGTGTCAATCCACCTGGTTGGGGGTCTTCCTCTCTTTTGCTGGCCCTGCATCTTTCCAAACATGATGTCTCTCTCCAACGAATAGCCTCTCCTAGCAACATGCCCAAAGTATGTGAGAGGAAGCTTTATCATCTTTGCCTCCAAGGAGCACTCTGGCAGCACCTTCTCTGAGACATATCTGTTCTTTTGGCAGTCCATGGGATATTATGTACTCTTCCCTAACACCACAGTGCAAAGGCATCAATTCTACTTCTGTCAGACTTATTTATTGCCCTGCCCTTAGATGCAGAGCAAGTAACTAAAAAGACTATCGCCTGAATCAGGTGCACCTTAATCTGCTGACATCACTGTTCCTCAACAAGTTGGAAAGGTCCCTGACTACAGACATTCCTGATCTACATCTCTGATCTCTGACTGCTGGTACCAAGTGTACTGATTGTGGATTCAAGTATGATGAAGTCTTTTGACAGTCTCAAATTTTTCTCCATCTATCATGATATTGCCTACCTGCCGAGTAGTGAGAATTTTTGTTTTCTTAACATTGAGATGCAATCCATATCGAAGGCTATCTCTGCAGCAAGTGCTTCAAGTTCTCCTCGTTTTCAGCAAGCAAGGTGTCATCTGCATAATGCAGATTATTATTGAACAGTCTTCCTCTGATCTTGATGCCTCATTCTTCATTTGAGATCAGTTTCTCAAATAATTTGCTTAACATAAAGATTGAATAGGTATGGCTAAAGTATACAACCCTGACACACACCTTTCCTGATTTTAAACCATGTAATGGTACCTTGTGCTGTCTGCACCACTGCCTATGAATAGGGTTTGCATGAGCACAATTAAATGTTTGGGATTGATCCACACAGTCAAATGTCTTGCATAGTCAAAAAAGCACATAGAGACATTCTTCTGGTAGTCTTTGCTTTCAGCCCCTCAGCTTTCAAATAATTGCTGATCTGATATCAGCAATGATATCCCTGGTGCTATGGCCTCTTCTAAATCCAGCCTGAGCTTCTGGCAGTTCCCTATCCATGTATCATTCTGGCTTTTTAATGATCTTTGGCAGTATTTTGCATGCATGTGATATTAATGATAATTTCCAATTAATTTCTATAATTTCCACAATCTGTTGTATCACATTTCTTGGGAATGGGAAGCAATACGGACCCTGTCCAGTCAGTTGGCCAGGTCTTCCAAATTTCCTGGCATAGACTGGTGAGCACATCTAGGGCTTTATCTGTCATGTGAAACATTTCAATTTGTATCCCATTATTTCCTGGGTCTTATTTTTTGCTAGTGCCTTCCATGCAACTTGAGCTTCTTCCTTCATTACCATTAACTCTTGATCATATGGTACTTCCTGAAAGATTTTAGGGTTGGCCAATTTTTTCTGATACAGTGACTCTGTATATTCTCTTCATCTTCTTTTGATGCTTCCTGGATCATGCAACATATTGCCCATGTTGTTCTTCTTGTTGTTAAGTGTCGTTGAGTTATAGATGACTCATGGAGACCCTATTCATGAAAGACCTGAACACTTGTATAACTTTCATTGTTTCTCCACATTCATAGAGTTTCCAGAGGCAAGCTATTTTGGAAGTGGATTACATTTCTGCCTCCAAGCTTGTTTTAATCAGGGAGCTCCACCAAACATTGTCCACCATGAGTAACCATTATCACATTTGACACATCAGTGTTGCAGTGTTAAGCATCACAGCAACCATGAGTTACCTCTGTACAGCAAATGGACAGACTAGGGCTATCTATACAACCTAGAAGAATGTTTGACCAAAAACAATTAAAACCTGGCCCAAGGGCCCAACCAAATTTAAGAACCAAAGCATGGTTCAATCTCCATGAGCCCCGTCATTCCAAATTCCTCCATAATCATACATTCTCATTGGCTCTCACCACCCAAAAACACCCATCTGGGAACATTTCACCGCTTCTTCAATCTCCTCCTATTCTGATACGACATGTTTTTTCATAGAGTCTAACTTTTTGAATGAATTGTTCACTATATAGACTGAGTACATATGAGGGAAATATACCTATGTAAACAAAAGACGAACAAAGGCCTGAAGCCTTTCTATAACTATCATCATTTCTCCAAGTTTATAGACTTTCCAGAGGCATGTACTTTAGGAAGTGGATGCCAGTCCTGCTTCCAAACCTGAATTAATCTGGGATATTGCCCATAGCATCCTTAAATATTGCAAATCGAGGCTCAAATTTTTCAGTACTCTTAGTTAATGTTGAACATTTCTTCCTTTTTGATTCTCCAAATTCCAAGTCTTTGCACATTCTGTTATAATATTTTGCATTGTCTTCTCAAGCTGCCCTTTGAAATCATCAGTTCAGATCTTTTACTTCAGCATCTCTTCCCTTTGTTTTGGCTTCTCATTGCCCTAATTCAATTTTCAGGGTCTCTTATCACATCTATTTTGCTTTTGGATTTTCCCCCCCTTCTCTTTTTTTGTAGTAACCTTTTGTTCTCTTTATGGATGTCCTTGATATCAACCCACAACGCATCTGGTCTTTGATCACTGGTGTCAATGCTTCAAACTCATTCTTAAGATGATTTTTAAATTCAGGTGAAATAGATATCGTGTTAGTAAATAATTGTAATTACCATTAATCAAAAGACTTTTGGAAAGGAAATATATAAGACTCATCATTTGCACAACAAACTGGGCTTCCCAGAAGAAATTTAAACTGTCTGAGCAAGATAGTGAGGCTTGTTGGCAGATTTCTATTTAAATATTTACCTTGTGCCCTGTGGAGTGGAAGGAAGACTATGCCAGTTGTCGGGGGTGGGGGGGAAGTTACTTTTTAACAAAGCTGAAAGCTATAGGTTTATCAATGATTTTATTACATATAATTAAAGTTGTTAATATTAAATTCTGTAATGAAGCTGCTTCAGCTTTTTTTTTTTTTTTTTTTTTTTTTACAAAATCTGTTTCTAGTGTAATAAGAAAGATGGGTACAGGCAAAAGTTCTCAGAGGATGCAGACACATGGGTTCCTCTCTTCAAAATTGACCAAATAAAGAACATTCTTTATTATATGATAATCAGATCTACACTGCATGCAATAAAACAATACAGTAGTAGTTTTACATAGAATGCTCAACAAATTAGTTTTTCTTGGTATACAAAACTTTTACAGATGCATGAAATTCAATATTTTGACCAAGCACTTGTGATGAGCTTACAAAAGATGTTTGAAGAAATTGGTAGAATTTTATGATAGTTTTCTTAGTTCCATGTGTTTTAGTCAAACCTCCTTCAACCTGTCTTATTTTCAAAATATAATCTTAGTACAAACACCAGAGTTGCTAGTCATCACTAAAATTGTCAAACCCATAACAGCATGTAAGTTCTGCTTTACTGTGTATTAAATGGGGCAAAGCCAAGAAATATACAATAAAACTCATGTAAGCACACTTCAGAAAAAATAAATCGTTCATCTCAGCGACAGTACTACTGCTATAGTCTTTAAAAACAACAACAACAACAACAACAACAAATAATCATTGCTAACAGAACCTGTATCCATAGGGGTAGAAACAGGTGTGTAGTGGGATTTACTTAAACTATATTGACACTTTCACAATACATTGTTGACCTACATCACAAAATCCATGAGGAATGTCCACATTTCAACACCATGTGCACTATTTTAAGACCTGGGTCCAGGAGTTTATATTGCATGTGCTTAAACCAAAACACTGTGAACAGAACACTATGAAAAGAAATGTCTTCTGTTTTGAGCATGGCCTAACTCTAACTCAAAGAATGTTAAATGACATCAAAAGAGTTTCAAAAGTGCTTACAGAAACCATGAACTGAATGTTAAAAGGAGTTGAGGAATGATTACAAAGTTATGGCAATGATATGATGAAAGTGTATATGGCTGCTTGGGATTTGCAAATGTATATCAAGTGTTTTTCCGTGGGCCGTGTCTAAACAAGAGAGCTCTAGTATCCTAATCTGTACACAGTTGTATTAGTAACCAAAAATCTGAATTTCTCTGGCTGTTCTAAATCACCAGTGGCTCTGAGGGAGAAAGATGGGCAACCTCTTCCTGTGCAAATTACAGCCTTGGAAACCCAATGGAAGGTCAGCTATGAGTCAGTTTTGACTAGATAGCAAAAAAGTTTAGTGGTCTAAACATATAATTGAAAGCAAAGATGAAAAACATGGTAGTACAAGTCCCTTAGTTTACCCTTAAGGTATACATTTTAACAGGGGAATACTTTAACAGGGACCTAAGTACAATCTAAGTGGAGAAGAAGTAAAATGTTCAAGAACTATTGTTTTTTCTCCCTGGCAAAAGTTACTTTCATTTGAGTAAAACAAAAATTATTTTGCCACAAATTTTATATCCCAAGAAGAATGTAAGAAAGAAAAAAGCCCTCACCTATGCATCATCTAATTCAATATTAATTTAGAATTTAATTGCTTTGAATCCACTATCTAAATCCCAACATGCACCTCTTATAATTCCCTCTTCACCCTCTTGCACAGACTTCCCTGAAAAAACAAACAAACAAACAACAACAAACCCATACCCTGGTATTCTAATGTCTGCATCTGTTAAGCCTTATGACTGAGGGTTCTGAGTACCACCTCCACTAGAACAAAGGGACACTTTCTGTTGCATCTTTTCTTTCTTTCACAATTGACACACATCTACAGCTGGCACAACTACTAGCTCTGCCTGAAGACTGCTGATTCCCAAAGGCTACTGGCTATAGTTTATCCCCAGCAGCTAGAGGTTTTAGAATGCTAGTTATCAGAGAAATCTACAGATATGTATGAAGACTAGAGATGGGTTTTCCTGTATATCTCATTGGATTTTGCTAGGTACCCTAACTGGCATGGCTTGACTTACTTCTTCGTGTGTTATGATTATAACTGGAAAAACTGATTGTGTCTCCAGCAGACAGCTTGCTCCTGGGAAGAGACACAGATGTCAGTGTAATAGGTGATGAGGAAGAGTCACTGAATCTAACATATTGTGGACCATCTTGGTCTTTGGAGGTGCTCCTGGGACTATTTGTACTGTGGCAAAGATCACTCTGTTCCTTCATGTTGTCTTTAATGCTCTTGAATAAGACACAGAACAGTTCAATGATATTCAAGGCAAGAGACATAACAGACACCACCAGCATGACGATGATGAAGATGCTTTTCTCTGTGGGGCGAGAGAGGAAACAGTCCACTTGATGAGGGCAGGGATCTCTTTTGCAAGTGTAAACTGCACTCAGACTAAACCCATAGAGGTGCCACTGGATCAGCAAGAAAGTCCCCTCAAATGCAGACTTGAAGACAATACTGATAATATAGGTTTGCAGCAAGCTTTCTCGCGTTTTTATGTTGCCATGTTCATCAATACCATACTGAAACCTCTTTATTTCAGTTTCTTGCAAGGCCGTCTCCACACTATCACCATCAGTTTGGACAGCTCTGAGTTCCTTCTCTTGCTTGTTCAGCTTCTTTTCTCTTCGCATCACAAAGATGACGTGAGCCAGGTACAGGAGTGTGGGTACAGACACACATATGATTTGCAGGATCCAGAAGCGCACATGAGAAATTGGGAAAGACTGGTCAAAGCAGACGTTCTCACAGCCAGGTTGTCGAGTATTACAGCGAAAGGCAAACTGCTCATCACCCCAGGCTGAGTCAATCGCAGTCCCCAGTAGCACCACTCGGACAATGAAAAGGACTGAGAGCCACACCTTCCCTCCAGCTGTGGAGTGAGTTTGGACCTTGTCCAGAAATTGGCCTAAGGCACTCCAATCACTCATCTTGCTGGGGCGCTGGTCTTCCCTCAAAAGATGTGAAGTAGGCACACCAAGTGATTGCACTCCTTGGAGGATGAAGTAAAATGAAAAGGTAAGTTCAATCACTCACAAAACTGTCTATGTAAAGTCTTAAAAGACTGCTACCATTTGGTACTTTCATCACTCCTTCCCCTAATGAAAGGAAATTGCTTATACCTGGTAAAAGCTCAAGCAGATTAGTTCTTATGCAGAGACAGTGAGTATGTTTCTAAAAGGACATTCAGAACAGGGAGACAACACAGGCAAATGTGAACGCTACTTAATATTCCAGAATAAAGTTCCAGAAATAATATTTCAAAGATAGAAACTAAATTAACAATCCATACTTGTATGCTGATTGATTAATCTTCAGAAGCATTAGGGCCTACATCTCCAACTATTACTGACTCTGTACCTACTAGGTGCGAGGTACTGGTTCCTCCCAATAGTTCCTACTAATAATTCCTCTGTTTCTGGAGCTCCCATCAATGTGGGCAAGAGATAATTAAAAGTACAAGACTTTAATGAGGCATAATCAACTGCAAGATGGATAATTATTTTACTTAGCACTCAGAAAGAAATCAAGGCATTCATTCAGTATAACATGTAATCTAACATTAGAAATGTGAAAGAAAAAAAATGTGCCTCTTAGATGCAATTTAAAAAGGCCAAGTAAGTAAGCAATTATAACTTTAAATAAGTGCCAAGAAAGAAACAAATAGGAGGTAGTGACAGAGAATAAATGTGAGGACACTGAGGCCAGACAAGATAGAGTTTGCAAAGCGAAAGGGTGAGAACTACTGCGGATGAAGAAGAGCAGCAGGGGCCAAGATTTTAACTGTGCCATTATTAAGACTTGCTTTTTTTTTTATCCATTTACTTGATAGAGTCCTTATTTCTTTATAAGAAAGGTTTCTATACAGAAACATTCTGAAAGATTTTGACACAAATGGATCTTATCTAAAAATGAATCACTATTAACTGATTATTACATGGCAAGAAAAGTAATTCTTTTTAGTCAATCCTGCAAATACAGCATCAACTCATCATTTTAAGACTAATGTTAGTGCTCTAAAATAGTATTCACTATATTTAACATTTTCATTCTCTCTGTTCAAATTCGGAGGTGTAGTTGTTGTTGTTATGTGCAGCAACTGGAAAAAATTGAAAAATTAATTCCTTAAACATGTTATGGACTTGTGATCTAATCCATAAACTTAAATATCATATAACTAATTTGTTTCTTGGTTTAATAGCTGCTCCACACTGTGGATTCATGATTAAAAAGAAAAATTAAAATGAAAGCTAAAAAATTGTCAAGGATAATGTATTTTAGAATGTCTTGATCGCCTGAGGCTTGTTGCAACTGTTACTCAAGAATAAGAACTGAAGCCTCCCCAAATGCAATCTTACAGCAAGTAATCAAATGATAAGGCTTTTAAGCACATACAGTACATCTCTGGTTGCTTAAAGAACACAGTTTAGCCAAACTGTCCTCTACCACATAGATTTTAAAAGTGATCATATTAAGCTAAATTCGCCAAGATCTATAGTTTATAATTATTATATTCTTCAATGTTAATTGAAAATAAACCAGTGCTTAGGTAAAAGCTCTGCATTTATTCTTACTAGTTTTTCAAATTTGTGTTTTAATGTCTAGAGATTTCAAAGGGCCTTAGAAAATTGAGTTACTTCTCTAAAAACAAGTAGGCTGAAATATTAGCAAATGAAGTTTATAGAAATGAATTTTGATAACTACTTTTGCATGGTTTCTCAAAAGACAATAGAGAAAAAGACAACAGGGGGGTTTCTTTAGAGGCAGCAAATCAGTGAGTGCTATAAATCTAGTTAATTTTGAGCAAAGTTATCAATAATTTTCTACAGCTAGAGAAAGTCCTTGAATTTTTAAAATATTTTGTTCTGGAAAATTACTTCCTAAACATGTGAGAATGTATAGAACCGAGATTCAAAGGGATAGAAATAACTGAGAATAAATCATCTCAGCTAAGCAAATGGCTCATAGGAAAGTTAAAAATCTCATGATGAAATTATTTTTAAACTGGACAAGATATTTCTAATTTTAAAATAAAAACGTAGGACTTCCAGTTTCAGCTCTGATATAGGAAGAGTTTGAATACTGCTTACAACAAGAAAAAAGCTGAACAAATTTTTAAAAAATCAGTAATTTTTCATAAAATCCATTAGAGAAATATAGTCATGAGGCAAACTGGCAATCCATTCCTAAAGACTGGTAAAGACAGCTTACCTGCACAGGGGAGAGGTCAACAGAGTTAAACACTGCCAGAACACTTAAAAGGCAATTTTAAACAACTGCCCGAGGCTCAGTCTTAGGAGAGCTTACACATTTTCCTGGATTTACCTTCAGGAACCTCAGCAAATTCTGATTATGAAGCTCCAAGAAAAAGCTCCTCCCCTTTTGGGCAGAGACAAAGAAAAAGTAACTGTTCTGAAATATGCTGGGGGGGGGGGGGCGAAGGCAGTTATTCTGAAATTAATCCAGAGTGCTCTCCATAACAGAAGGCAATCTTTGCTAGATGGTATCTGTCCTGGGGAAAGGGCTATTATCCAACTATACATAACCATTCCAGTATCACCTGAGAGAGTGAAGAAGAAGAAAGCCTGAGGAACATTTCTAGAAAAGCTATAGCTCAGAAATCAGGCTTAAAAGGGGGGGGAACCCCAACAACCCAAAACACCGAAAATTTAATTAAAGATTATAAACTATTTTGCCTCACCAACACCCTATCCACCAGATCAACAGAGCTCCAGTAAAAGAGCAGATCACAATTAAAAGAGTTGGAAGGGAGAAAAATGACATTAGAGGCGACTATAGGCTCTGGAAAATACAGCTGTAAGAAATATTAGTCCAGGTCCCAATCAGATTAACATAAAATCTCACATTAAAGATCTTTCCCTCCTCCTTTCTAATACTTTGAATATTTTATTGGCCTTCATTCACATATAATTTATTTTATAACATTAATTATAATCGGTCAATTTCACTTATTACATCTTATCAAATCTTCTTGCTACGCTTCTTTTCCCTTCTACAGTATCTATCTATCTATCTATCTATCCCTCTGCTAATCTCTGCTCCCCACCGTGTCCCCTCCCATTCTTGTTCAGTCTCTATTATAGTTTCTGTGTGTAAGCCTTTCCTTAGAGTTTTTCCTCCAATCAGTTATGTACATCCTATTCTAGATTTTAACTGCAATTTACACAATGTCTGACCATCCACTCAGTTCACAATGACCTTCCCCTTCACCTATTTCAATGATGTGTTCATTACTCATCCATGCATTTCCTGCTTTTCCCCTTCCTTGTCTCCCTGCCCCACAGTCATTCTATTTTTTTAGAACAGTGGTCTTATACTGTTGTCCTTTTGTGACTGAGTTATTTCACTGAGCATAATGTCCTCTAGATATATTCACATTGTGTAATGATTCATGAGTCCCTAATTTTTTTTCAATGCCAAGTAATATTGCATTGCGTGGATGTACCACAGTTTCTATAGCCGTGCCTTTCTTGATGGGCTCTTGAAGTTTCTGCTTCTTTGCTGTTGTGAATAATGCTGCAATAAACAAGGGTATGCATATATCTATTCATGTCACATCTCTGATTTCTTAATAGTCCCAGTAGTGGAATAGATGGGTCAAATAATATTGCTCAACTTTTTGAAGGAAGACCTTTTCACTCCAGTTGCTATTATCTAATCTAGTATATCTGACTATTAATTAAAAAAAAACTTTCAGGCATAAATAAAAAACATTCAGAGGAAACAATGGAAGCATTAGAATCAATCTAAAATGTGACATACTTTCAAATTATCAGATAGTGAGTTCTGAGAGTTTAAAAATTACTAATAAAATTATATACTAACAACTCCTCTAGTAGAGAACAGTAAGAACAGATGGGTAATGTAAGCCAATACATCGAAATGCTAAAAGAATTGTGTTGTTATGTGCTGTCGACTCATAGTGTACCCCTTTCTTTTTCTTTTGATACTTCCTAGATCATTTAACATTCTACCCAAACTATCAAGTTATGCTACCAAGCCAAAGGTGGGTGATTTTAATCTGCGGCCCTCAGGCCAGGTTCAAATTGTTTTCCTGTCAAACATTCTTCTAGGTGGTATAGCACTGGTCTGTGCATTGATGTACAGAGGTAACTCATGGTTGCTGTGATGCTGAACACTGACACTGATGTGCCAAACGTGGTAATGGTTACCCATGGTGGACACTGTTGGCTGGAGCTTCCCTACTAAAACAAGCCTGGAAGCAGGAGTGGCATCCACTTCTAAAATGGCTTGCCCCCAGAAACTCTATGTATGAACAGTGCTCAGGACTTTCGTTCATAGGGTCGCTATGAGTCATCTATGACTCGACGGCACCAAACAACAACACAACCTAAACTATCCTTAAGTACTGCCACCCATGGCTTGAATTTGTTTTTCAACTCCTTCAAACGCTGAGCAAGTTTGGCCCTTTTGATTTTCTGACTCTAGGTCTCTGCTGTATCTTGCTTTGTTGTCCCGCGCTGCCTTTTGAAATTTTCTGTTCAGCTCTTTGATTTCTTGGTTTCTTCCTTTAGCTTTGGCTTCTTGGTGCTCTGATGCAATACTCTGAGTCTAGTCTGATATCCATCTTGGTCTTTTCTTCTTCAGCCTTTTTAATGATCTTTTGCATTCTTCTTGGACGATTTTCTTGATATCCTCCCAGAGCTCATTTCACTGGTGCTCAAGCCCTCAAACCTGTTCCTGAGATGGTTTTGAAATGTGAGTGGGACAGACTTAATGTAAAATTTTGGTTCCCATGAACTTGATTTAATTTTCCTCAACTTCACCTTGAACTTGCATGAGTAGTTGGTGGTCTGTCTCACAATCAGCACCCGGCCTGGTTTTCACTGCAACTCTGCACCAACAGGCCCTATGATGCTGTTGCTGTTATATGCCATCTAGTCTTCTG